TTTTGTCAATCGGCCAGTAGAACGGGAGATATAGAACTGCCACATTTTTTTTTTTTTTTGCGCAGTGTACGTACCCCTACGTGCGGATTTACGCATGTATCTGATATAACTCAAAAACAATTAGCCACAGAGCGTTGAAATTTTGTATATGAGACTGATATAACATCTTGTGGTGCAACTTCGTTTTCTATTGCAACCTGCAGTACCAAAAGTAGTATATACGAGGGCTGATTGAAAAAGTTCCCTTACTCCATATACAGATGGCAGTACAAATCCCCCGGAACTTGTTTGTACATCACTTGATAACTACCAATCAAAATATCATCTGTTTGTAGAGGAATGTTTTGTTTGACAATTATTTTTGTAAGCTGATGTGGCCAGTTTTGCGAAAATGGAAATCATTATTTACAATTTCTAGATATTATACATGAAAATCAAGACGGTATATATGTAACTAAGGATGGGTTATATTCAATATTATAAAAAAATATATTGTAGAAACAAGCTCCAAGACCAAAATAAAATGCATAAGTGTCCTTTTAATAATTTGAAAAATAAAGATAATATGAAGAAAGAAATAATAAAAGAAACAGTGCTTTTAATAATTTGGGAATAAATATATGTATAAATAAAGGTCTCAACTGGGTTAAAGTATATATGGTATGAATACAATCCCTTTCCCCCATTTTGGTGACACTACACCATGCTACACGTTGCAAACATCTAATTTATCACTTGCATCTAGCTAAAGTACCAAATAATGATAAATTTAAAAATCTGACTACAAGATAAATAACGTTTTATTAGAAAAGACATTTCTAAAATATCTATTCTGATTACAGTACGCAACTTAATAAAAATGCCTTCTCTAGCTAGAAAGGTATCAATTAATTGATTAGATACTTTTCCAATATGCCTTGCCATGCATTTTGATGTGTATGTGTGAATAACAGAAAAATGAGGTATGTGTGTACACATATACCACTTCGCACACACACACCAAATTTGCATGGCGATATATAACGGAAAAGTTCTCTCATTTATTTGGATTCTTTATTGACTATTTAAATACTTTGTAATATAAGAATTCTTTTTTAAAGCAGTTCCCAAGACTGAATCACTAATCAACTGAACATCTCATTGAAATCTTTCCACATATTTCTCATACCTCATTACATGTTACATCTGGTTGATTAGTATAAATTTGGGGGAATTTTACTAAATTTTCAATTTTTGTGAAACTTTTCATGCAAATAAAATAAGGTATACAAAATAGAGGATGAAATAACAATAAAAATTATTTTTAAATCAGCAATACTGAAGCATTTAGAAGCTAAAATTTCTATGTAGTAAGCTATTTGCAAGGATAAACTTAAGGCTGCGTCTAATATGAACCTTACAAGTGATGCTAGTAATCAGAATCTGGTGAAGTAAATAATAACAACCCAGAAATCAAAATCATGATTATTAAAAAGTATTATTAGCAGTGGTAAAAACTGAAGTAAGAAAACCAAAGAATAGCATGAAAGTGACATTATAGAAATAGTATTAAATTAGGTGGAAACCGCTAACTGCTTCGTCAGTGAAGGTCTACCAAATTGTAAGAATTGAAGTAAGAACATGATAAAGAATAAAACAAAAAGTCCTTAACACATAGCAATAAAAACCCTGTCAAATACGAAAATATGTATCATGCCATAGAAAGCAATTAAGTTGCGATCAAGGCAATTTTCATTTTGAAAACTATCAGCTGCAAAAAACATTGAAACAGGAAGAAATTAATTAAATTTCAGAGCACACCAATTATGCTTTTATCTTTTTCTAAAACCAAAAGTGCAGAAATTTAAAAAAAAAAAAAAAAAAAAAAAAAAAAATCTCTAGTTTTCATATACAAATGCTCTGTATTTCTGATAAAACTAGTACATAAATACCTCTTTTCTCTTGAACTTTCCTGCGATGATTCACCAAATACATAACTAGTTCGCTTAGTGGTTCCTTTAGTCAAATTAAAAATAAATTTCGTTGGCACAGCATCTGCATTTAATGACCTCCTGTTTGTGAAAGTTGGTATGTGAAACATTCTTCTTCAAAATGTTCAGAGCAAATTCTGGTGTGGGGGTGGATTGAAGTTTTCCCTTTTTATCTTACTATCCACTCTGTCGAGATTTCATCTTAGGAAACAGAGGAAGGAAATCATTTTTTTACATCTGTCTTTCATATTGTTATTTGAACAACCGTATGCACAACATGTAGTAGGCATTGTCAACTCAAAAACTGGAAATGTAAACAGGATTTAGAAATCAGCTAAAAATTAAAACTATAATGGGAAAAATGATAAATGAATTATCAAATCAAGGAAAGAATTCATAAATAATTTAACAATCGAACATGGTAAAGCAGCGAACAAGAGAGTATATGAAGATAATAACATATAGAGTGGCAAAAATTATACTAACCCAAATGAATGAACAGTTAATTAACGTTGAAAAATACTTAAAACTGAAATGCAAATTCATAACTAATTAAAATAAACAAAGTTTCGATTTTTCAACACAGCTACAACAGCACAAGCTTGTTTGTTTACATTAGCAGTCCTTACATCACGTGACCTCAGACGTCACCGGAATGTATCTCATTCGTTCTTTCACTGATTCACTAAATTTTCCCCTCGCTAACTCTTTCCATTTCACGGCCGCTAATTTAGATATTGGTGATTTCACTTTGGCATCATAACATTAAATTTTGATTTAAAATTCGAGGTATGGTATGTAAGTGCTAATGCGAAGTCTGATTTCTATTTGTGATCGACTGAAGATTAAGAAATCTGTGCATTTAATTTATGTTATGCGGATTATATCATATTTAATGTGTCCTTGTAATTTTTTTTTATTAGTGATATTTATCATCAGTGCCCGAAATGAGAAATTACTTGCACATTACGAAATAAAAGAGTACCGAGATTACGAAATAAAAGAGTACTCTAGATTTTAGAATAATGTTTACAGTTTTCTATTTGGATATACATTTCTGGCAAAAAGCTGATATGGTATAAAGTGTTTTCGTATCTATTAATTAATGTGATTTTATAGTTCGAAAACCTTTAATAAATTATTTCGATTATTATATTTATTATTTATTTGTTAGCGAAATGGATATTACTGGATTAGTCGTCGCAGCAAGCGAAGGAATTCAGTATGTAGTAATAGTTTTTTTCGCTCTTTATTTGAATTGTTTTATAATCAAAGCATATTTTCAAATAAACTTATCAGTCTGAAAATGTATATTCTTTCTTATAGGTTGGAAAATGGGAAAGGATTATTATATAAAATTTACAACCAGACAGAAAATATTCATATTTTTTTACTAGCATGTGTAAGTTACATTTTGTAATGCTTTGAAGAAATGTAGTGTTGAGGAGAAAAACTATTTTTAAAGATCTGTAGAAATGTGGATATATTAATTTTTTTGAATATGTCCTTTATACGTGCTATATACCCATTAAAATAAGAGATGAAAAATTCATTAGAAATGTAAATATTGGTTAATTTCGTTCATCTTTTATTATATATTGATAGTATATAGTATACTTTGTGATTATCTGTACCAAAACAAAAACTTATAAACACTTTGGAAATTTTGTGAATTGGCAAAAAAATGTTTGGGGGGGGGAAGTGCAGAATTGCCCAGTTGCTTGGCGCATTTTTCAAAATCGCCAACTTGCCACGCTCTCGTGTCTTGTCTGCTGGATTTGCAACCACTCCAGAAGACTATAAGGTGTGACATTTACAATGGCGAACAAGTAAAATAAATACAAAATAAAAGTTGAAGCAAAATTTTGAAAACTGAAAATCCTTTAAAAACAGCATAATAATTTTAAAAAACAAACATGGTTAAGGAAAATAGTAAGCTTCAAAAACTTAAAATCGTTACAAAACCTTGAAAAATTAAAATTCATTTACCTATAAAAAAATTGGGGAAAGTGGAGAATCAGAATTGCCCAGTTGCTTGGCGCATTTTTCAAAATCGCCAACTTGCCACGCTCTCGCGTCTTGTCTGCTGGATTTGCAACCATTCCAGAAGACTATAAGGTGTGACATTTACAATGGCGAACAAGTAAAATAAATACAAAATAAAAGTTGAAGCAAAATTTTGAAAACTGAAAATCCTTTAAAAACAGCATAATAATTTTAAAAAACAAACATGGTTAAGGAAACATAGTAAGCTTCAAAAACTTAAAATCGTTACAAAACCTTGAAAAATTAAAATTCATTTACCTATAAAAAAATTGGGGAAAGTGGAGAATCACCCACTGCTTGACACGTTTTTAAGAATTTTACAAACTCGGTATCCATGTACACATCAACCTACTTTCGCTTAAAAAAAATCCCAGAATTGTACAAAAATGTCATGCATACTCTCTTGACTTTATCCATGTACACATCAACCTATTTTCACGTTTTTAAGAATTTTACAAACTCGGTATCCATGTAGACATTGACCTACTTTTACTTTAAAAAAAATCCCAGAATTGCACAAAGATGGCATTGCGCACTCGGCTAATCTTTGGAATATGGTAACAGGTAGTTTGGCGACATTTTGGTAAGGCGATAAAGGTTACTAGCTAGGATTTTAGCAATGTACGTGGATAAAGTCGAGTGTGCGCAATGCCATTTTTATGCAATTCTTTGATTCTTTTTTTAAAGTGAAAATAGGTCGACGTGTACATGGATGATACCATGTATGTGCAATTCTTAAAAACGCAGCAAGCAGTGGGTGATTCTGCACTTTCTCCCAGTTTCCCACCTAATCTTGTCATGATTAAGCACTTTTGTTCCAAAAAAGTTCTAGCATAAGCATAATTCGGCTAGCAGATTGTTGGAAAAAAATGTTGAGCATTAAAAAAAAAAAAGCCCTTTACTTCGTGAAAACAAAATGGCGTTCAAAAAAAAAAAAAAACTAGCAGTTTGCCGTAGCAGGGTTAATTGTCAAAAAATCGCCAAGTTACCATAATCCGAAGATTAACCGTGCGCTCCTTTGACTTTCTCCATGTACACATTGACCTAGTTTCTCTAAAAAAGTCAAAGAAAATTGACAAAAATCCAGTTCTTCGTACTCTTGTAAAAAGTGCCAAACAAATACGTGGGAAATTTTTAAAACTGGAAATCCTTAAAAAAAAAAAAAAAAAAAAAAAAAAAAAAACTAATAACTTTAAAAACTAAAATCGTTTCAAAAACATAGTAAGTTTAAAAAACACAAAATCCTTACAGGAAACCCTGAAAAATTAATTCTCTCACTTCCAAAAAATTTTTAAATATGAAAATCCAGTCCTTACAAAAACATAATTTTAAAAACTAAGAATTGTTTCAAAAACATAGTAAGTTTTAAACACTTAAAATCGTTACAAAACATTGAAAATTTAAAATACTTTCACATATCTCAAAAGGGGTAATGCACTCTGCTCAGCCGATGAACGAAACGTAACGAATTCTTTTAAAATAACTGCAGCTCTACCATCATCTACACCAATCAGAAATTCTAAATTTTAAAATACATACTGAGCACGCGCAAAAATGCTCCAAATTTTGCTCTCAAAAGAAATTCTCAATTTAAAATACATACTACGCATGCGCAAAATGCTCTGAAATTCGCCTTTCAGAACGGCAAAATGGACTTGGATACCACATTTGGCTTACTTATCAATCTCGTAAAAAGCAAAAACACAACGTGCCAAATAAGTGGGCAATTCTGCACTTTAGCCAATGTTTGTTTAGCATTCTTTGTAACCCATAAGTTCTGTTCAGTTAATAAATAATGATGAAAAAGTACTGATATTTCTGCATTGCCGAGAAACTAACAGTTAGTAATCAGGGCATGTGTAAGAAACAAATAGAGTAAAAGTATATTTACAGGTACCCCATGGCGATTTTTGGTGGTACCTGGATACCAAGTTTGTGCAATTCTTTGACTTGTTATTTTGGCTTTGTGTAGTGGCGATTTTAGCTCTAAAAATCGCCACTACACAAAAACAAAATAACAAGTCAAAGAATTGCACAAACTCGGTATCCATTGACCTATTTTTACTTAAACATCACAGAATTGCACAAACTAGGCATTGTGCACTCCCTTTTTGGATGTACACATCGATATATTTTCACTTAAAAAGTCAAAGCAGCACCTGTTTCTAGGTAAAAGTATATTTGCAAAACATTCAACTACTCAGGTGACCATAAATGAAACAACAACTTGGCGATAAACGGAACAACAATTTCGGTATAATACAAGGGGTACCCTTCAGTCTGCTCTAACCACGAACAGTTATTGGTTTATGCATATGTGTGAATATAAGAAAGAAGGAATTTGTTTATAAGGGGAAAAAAAACCTATACGGTACATTTTTACAGTTGGCGGATGTTTTTAAAATGTAGTTGGTTAACTATAGCCTTCATGTAAGTTTTCACAATATTAATTCTTAATAATTCATTTAGGAATGCAGTTTGAAATATTCATTGCATAAATAAATACAGTACAAAGTCTTTAATCCGGACTCATTGGGACTTCGATTCCGGATTAGGGGTTTTTCCGGATTATAGATCGTCAGTTTAAATCTGGTAAGATGGCATGCAGAAATTATAAAATTAAAAATACGAAACCATAATTTATGAATTAAAGAGCAATTATGATCTAAAAAGTATCAAAATTTACAAAAAAAAAAAAAAAAAAAAAAAAAAAAACTTAATATTTATTTGTTTACTTTATTAAACCTTTCTTTCAATGTAAGTTGTTTAAGTTGCTTTGTTTTTTGTGCTAATATTTTCTCTTTAATTCTCTCTTCTATGGATTTTGGATCTTATCTTTACAGCTGGCATTAACTATAAAGAGTTCTAACCAGTATCCTGAAAATTATAACCATTTAAACATTTGCTTGATTTTAAAAGAAATCAGAGATGTACTTCTAGTACATCGTCGCATGAGGCGAAAGTTCAAAATGTAAGTTCACGAGTATGTAAAATAAGAACGAAAGATGTTCTTCGTCTTGTGCTACGCTGGCATGGAGGCAGTCAGAGGAGAAGTCATGTGATCTTGAGAATGCACTGGTTGATCGAAATCAGTAAAGTTCATTAAAAGTTCTTAATTTAACGATAAAAACACTTAATATGTAATAAATGTATGTATATTACTTTAAAACAGCTCTCTTCTATAAACAATCTCTCTCTATAAACAATATCTCTTCTCTTTACGTGCATGCGCATAAAGTTTGTAGCTTTGAGGTCCGGATTATGGACGTCTGGATTAAAGACTTTGTACTGTATCACTTTCCAGGATGAAATGTATGCATTCAACAAAAATGCCATTTGATTTATTGGCTTTACGTAGTTAAACAAATAAATTATTTTTTAGAATTATTCGTACTGCAAAATGATTTAAATGACAGAGAGGTATAAGGTTTTGACAACTATAAAAGGATTACAGGGTAGTCTATATTTTGGGGTACCTCTTAGATTATCACCAAGTTGCTGCTTCATTTGTGGTATCCTGAGTATTTTACGGTGTATGTTTTGGAAACTCTGTTATGCCATGATTGGTTGTAATGCATAAGCGTTTCAGCAAGTGTTGGGATAATATTTCTCAGGGCTTATTTCTGTGTTGGATGTCGAGTAGGAAGTACGTGACTATTTGTGCTTTACACCATAAAATGGCTGCCAATGGCAAGATTAACCTGTAGTTTCTGTATGATTTTTTAACAAATGAGAAAGAAACCATTGATTGACAGGTATGTGAATGAAGGTTTAAATGGCTTCGTTCACCTCGCAGTGACATTTAAGCATCTGGAAACTGGAGCTTGAAACAACACTGTTGAAGGTATGTGGGATGCAATAAAAAGGAATTTTTCAAAGAAATGTCACCGGCAGTGTACAAATTCTAGCTCAGGTAATTTTAAAGTTTTCAGGTGTTGTTAAGAAATTCTGTGCATCACACACTGAAGGCAGAAATTTCTAAATAAAGTAAGTCAATATTTCCTTTTTGTACTGTGCAGATTAGATAATTCCATTTGTATGTATTTATATTTTTGTGCTATTTCCTTGTTTATTTTGATTTAAAATGCAGTTTATTGAGATAGTAATTTTTTTTATGTTTTGATTATGTCTTGGACACCATATTACTTGGGAGGGTATTGCACATAAACAGGAATTCCCTCCCTCCCAAATTGCCAATTTTTGCCAAGGGGGACCTTGAAATATATTTTTCCTGGATTACATCTTCACAAGAATTAATTTATTATTAAAACTTTAGATGCAGATAATCAGAAAGTATTGCATCAATTTCAAATCTGCACTTTTTACATGTTTTAATTAAAAAATAATTAAGAAAAG